CATTAAGAGTGGTAAAATTTGACTCTTGGGATGGCAGTGTGTGTGCTCTATTTTCTCCCAGGTTTCTATAACAATACTGTACCATTTTGTAATTAGAGAAATAAAATATAGAAAAGGCCACCAAATGCAAATGGTGCATAAAACAAATGCCTTAATTCTCCAGGCTCCTACATGCCACAGAAATGACCCCGTCAAAGTTGAGTTAGTTTGCTCCTCTTCCATAGGAAAAATAATAAATCTTTTAAAATGTGAATTTTGATTAAAAATGGTGGTCGCATAAGTGGATGCTACACAGACACACTCCCAGGACCAAACTGGAATTGCAACTAAAATACAGAAAAATCCTGAATAATCAATGGGAGACTAGCTGGAGAGAACTCTGATAACCAAGGACATAAAGTGGAGATCGCCTAGAGATTGGTAGTTAGGGTGGAAGTGGGAAAGGGCTAAAAGGCCTCCCACAGATAGCAGCTGAAGTTCCAGAGAGAGAGATCTCAGCTGTGGGGGGTTGCAACTGAGAATTCTGGGGTCTAATCTCCAAGCTGGGACCCCAGCAGAGGGCACCAGAACTGAGAAAAGTACCCACATAACATTTGGCTGTGAAAAGCAGCAGGGGTGTTTTCTGACAGGGAGAGATCCATGGAAATGCAGGTACCCCCTTAAATGGCCAACACATAAAATTCCGTGTGCAGCCACTCACTGGCAGAGGCAGGGCAGAGTGGACTTGAGCTATGTGAACAGATGTCAAGGTTGGGGGCTCTGGGGTTAGATCTCAGAAGGCAGACACCCTGGTTTCTTGTGCTGAGTCATTCCCTCATGCTGCTGAGGTCACCTTTCTCACTCAGACATTTGCTATCCAGGTGATATTGCCTGAGGGAAAACACCTTGCCCCAGAGTGTGGAGTTTCTGAGGCTCATTAAGAGCCTGAGAATAACATCTAGCCTCCAGGCAGAAGCAATTTCCCTACCCTGTTGATAATTACCTGAGGGCTACTCAAGGCTGAGTCCAATCAGTCTGCAGGCAGAGGTGTCTCTGGAGGCTTTGAGTGTTTGCCTGATCTAATTAGTCAGAAACAGTGTTTGTCACTGTCCTGCACTAGAAATTGAGAGATATAACAGATCTAACTAATACAGAGTCACAAATCCAAACAGGCAGACAAAATGAGGAGACAATAAAACAATGATGGTAGAGATGCTCAATAGCATAAGAAAAAAATATAGTAACTATGAAAACAGAAATAAAGAATGGCATAGCACAAATAAAGAACAATGGAAGGAATACACAGCAGATTGGGGGAAGCTGAGGAGTGAATCAGTAAATTAGAAGACAGGGTTGAAAAAAATCACTCAAACAGAGGACCAAAAAGAAAAATAATTAAAAAAAACAGGAGGACCACTTAAGGGAGCTGTAGGACAACATGTAACAATATTCAAATAACAGGTGTGCCAGAAGAGGCAGAAAGGGAGAAAGGGATCGAGAACATGTTTGAAGAAATAATGGCAGAAAACTTCCCTAACCTGATAAAGGAAAAAAATTACACAAGTTTGGGAAGCACAGAGAACTCGAAGCAAGAAGAACTCAAACAGGTCCATGCCCAGAGACATTATAATTAAAATGCCAAAAATTGCTTCTTTTCCGACAAAACACCAAATGGCGGATGATGCCGGTGCTGCGGGAGGGCCCGGAGGCCCTGGGGGCCCCGGAATAGGAGGTTGCGGGGGCTTCCGTGGAGGATTTGGCAGCGGCATCCGAGGCCGCGGAGCTCGTGGAGGCAAGGCCGAGGACAAGGAGTGGATCCCTGGCACCAAGCTGGGCCGCCTGGTTAAGGACATGAAAATCAAGGTCCTAGAGGAAATCTACCAGTTCTCCTTGCCCATCAAGGAGTCGGAGATCATTGACGTTTTCTTGGGGGCGTCCCTCAAGGACGAAGTCTTGAAGATCATGCCTGTGCAAAAGCAGACCCGTGCTGGCCAGAGGACCCGGTTCAAGGCATTTGTCGCCACTGGGGACTACAATGGACACGGTGGTCTGGGTGTTAAGTGCTCAAAGGAAGTAGTCATCCAGGGGCTGCACTGCCACCCTGGGCAACTTCGCCAAGGCCACCTTTGATGCCATCTCTAAGACCTACAGCTATCTCACCCCAGATCTCTGGAAAGAGACCGTGTTCACCAAGTCTCCCTATCAGGAATTCACTGACCATCTTGTCAAGACCCACACCAGAGTTTCTGTGCAGAGGACCCAGGCTCCCGCTGTGGCCACCACATAATTTTATACAAGAAAAATAAAGTGAATTAAGCCTGCTTTAAAAAAAAATGCCAAAAATTAAAGACAATGAAAGAATCTTAAAGGCAGGAAGAGAAAAGAAAACTGTTACCTACAAAGGAGTTCCCATAAGGCTGACACCTGATTTCTCATCAGAAACTCTACAAGACAGAAGGGAATAGCATGAAGTACTCAACATAATGGAAAGCAAGGGGATCTGAATCCAAGATTACTATGTCCAGCAAGACTATCATTCATAATAGAGAGTCAAATAAAGAGCTTCCTAGACCATAAAAATGCTAAAGAAATACAGAAATATAATGGCAATAAATAGGCACCTATCAATAATAACCCTAAATGTAAATGGATTAAATACTCCAAACAAAAGGCATAGGGTAGCTGAATGGATACAAAAACACGACCCAGCTATAAGTTATCTACAAGAGACCTACCTCAGAACAAAAGACACACACAGAAAGAGAATGAAGGGATAAAAAAAATTTTTTCCATGCAAATATAAAAGAAAAAAAAGCTGGACTAGCAATACTCATATCCAACAAAATAGACTATAAAATGAAGACCATGATAAGAGACAACAAAGGTGAGTACATAATACTAAAGGAATGATCCAACAAGAGGATATAACCCTGGTAAATATACATGCATCCAATATAGGAGCACCTAAATGTATATTTTTAAAAAAACTTCTAGAGGACTTTAATAAAGAGATCAACAACAATACAGTCATAGTAGAGGACTTTAACACTTCACTGACTTCACTAAATAGATCTTCCAGTCAAAAACTTAACAAGGAAACAGTGACTACAAAGGACACACTGGATCAAATGGATTTAATTGACATTTATAGAACATTTCACTGCAAAGCTGCAGAATATACATTCTTCTTAAGTGCACATGGATCATTTGCAAAGATAGACCACATGTTAGGATACAGAACAAGTCTTTACAAGTCCAAGAAGATTGAAATCATATCAAGGATCTTCTCAGATCACAGTGGAATGAAATTAGAAATCAACTAATGTAAAAACACCCCAAAACATTCAAACACATGGAGGCTAAAGAGCATGTTACTAAACAATGAAGGGGTTACCAACGAGATCAAAAAAGAAATAAAAAACTTACTAGAAAGGAATGAAAATGAACACACAACAACCTCATGTTTCTGGGACACAGCAAAAGCAGTCCTGAGAGGGAAGTTCATATAATTACAGGCCTACCTCAAAAGACAAGAAAAATTAACAATAAACTATTTAACCCTACAACTTAAAGAACTAGAAAGAGAACAACAAGGAAAGCCCAGAGTAAGTAGAAGGAAGGAAATAATAAAGTTTAGAGCAGAAATAAATGACATAGAGAATTAAAAAAAACAATACAAAAAATCAATGAATCCAAGAGCTGGTTCTTTGAAAGGATAAACAAGATTGATGAATCATTAGCCAGACTCATTAAGAAACAAAGAGAGAGGACCCAAATAAATAAAATCAGAAATGAAAGCAGAGAAATAACCACTGACACTACAGAAATACAAAGGATTATAAGAAAATACTATGAACAACTATATGCCAACAAGCTGGACAATGTGGATGAAATGGACAAATTCCTAGAAAAATACACTCTCCCAAAATTGAATCATGAAAAATCAGAAAACCTGAATAGGCCAATAACAACTGATGAAAAAGAAGCGGCAATCAAAAGGCTCCCACCCAACAAAAGCCCAGGTCTAGACGGCTTCACAGGGGAGTTTTATCAAACATTCAAAGAACTATCACCTATACTTCTCAAACTATTCCAAAAAATCTAAAAGGAATATTTTTAAATTAGTTTCCTTCTTGCCCTGGCCGGTTTGGCTCACTGGATAGAGTTTTGGCCTGGGGACTGAGGGGTCCAGGTTCGATTCTGGTCAAGGGCATGTACCTTGGTTGCGGGCACATCCCCAGTAAAGGGTGTGCAGGAGGCAGCTGATCGATGCTTCTCTCTCATTGATGTTTCTAACGCTCTATCCTTCTCCCTTCCTCTCTGTAAAAAGAAAACCAATAAAATAAAATAAAAATTTAAAAAAGATTTTAAAAAATTAGGTTCCTTCTTGAAAAATCAGTGTTAAATTATTTTAATAGTCAATTTTGCTTTGATATGCACAGTTTAAAAATTATCTCATATTAATTTGTTTATAAAGTTCAATCCTGTTATAATTTTTCTTTTCATATGTTTAGTTTAATAATTATTCACATTTATCTTCTTATTTTTTCTAATGCTAATGTTATTTTTTATAAATCAGTAAGATATGGGGTAAAACAATGGAAGAATATTTAATAGAAAATTAAAGTTGCTCTTCCTGAAATAAATAAATAAATAAAATAAATGAATTTGGCAATGTGGCAGGATACAAAATCAGCACCCAAATATCAATGGCTTTTTTATAGACCAAGAATGAATTCTCAGAAAGAGAAACTAAACAAATAATCCCATTTACCATTGCAAAAAAGAAATTAAGATACTTCGGAATAAACTCAACCAAGGAGGCAAAGGACCTGTACTCAGAAAACTATTCATTATCTATTGATGGACATTTGTGTTGTGTCTGCCTTTTGGCTTTTATGAGTAATGATGCTATAACATTTGTATACAAGTTTCTTCATGGACCTGTTTTCATTTTTGTTGGGTGCATTCCTAGGAGAGGAATTGATGGGACCTAATTTCATCAAACTATTCCTAGGAAAAGCACAATCCGCACGGGGAGTTTACTATTGACAACTTGACAATCACCGTGTCTGATTTCTTTGAAGCTGGGACAGAGACGACAAGTACCACCCTGAGATATGCTCTCCTGCTCCTGCTCAAGCACCCGGAGGTCTCAGGTATGCCCAGCATGGTGGGAGGGGTGAATTTCAAAGAAGACGTTGGAAAGATATGGCAAGGTCATTCCATCTTGTTTTTCTCAAATAAGTGTCATTATTAAAATGCCTTGTGACCTGCTTGGTTTTTCCAAGTTTAAAGAAGGGATAATAATGGGACATCTTTCTAAAATATAGGCTGATGTCTGAGAGGAGTGAAGACGCTGTGGGCAGTAGCCAAAGCAAAAAAGCATGGTCTGGATTTCCTGGGAGGTTATGTGTGGCAGGCACACACCAGCATGGAGTGGCCTGTTCTTAATATGTTTGCTCCCCTTCTTAGCACTATGTGTTTTAACCAAGGTCACCTCTCTGAGAAAGGTTGTTTCCCCAGGTGGGGATTGTTCCCTGGAGTTAGGGATTAATAGGACTAAGGAAGGGAATAAATCAGTAAAACCCCTTAACTAAGTGCCAAGCGGGTAATCACTTTACCAACAATCACACTTAAGCTACATAATCTTTACTTAGGATAATCTCCTTCAGTTACTTCCTTGTAGTTTAACAGAACAATAGAGTAGAGACCTTGGAATGGAGATAACAAACGCTCTAACCTTTGGAATAGAATGGATAGGATTAAAATCAAATGGTATAAATACAGACGTAACAGTGTGTATTTAGAGAACCTAGCTAGAGAAGCTGGCTAGAGAACCTGGCTAGGCTGCTGATCATCTGAATGCTGTCTCTGTTTCATCCCTTCTTCACTGACTCCACACCTTTGGGAACCCCTGGACCTGCTGGGGCTGGACCCCAACAAGGTTACTTACTTTAAACAGTGGGTATATTCCTGCAGAGATCTCACGTCATTCTGAAAATGAAGGGGTCTAATGGAAACTCTTCTTACTGAAGCATAAGTGAAAATCCTAGAGACTTAATTAGTGAGGCTGCCTGAGATCATTTCCAGTCTAAAAAGTGTCCTAAAAATTGAGATTTGCAAGCAATGTGGTCTTATTCAGGCTTAAGATATTGCATAAAGGAATTTTGTTATTTCAGAAGTCTGTTTCCAGAAAGGAGTTGGTTGCCAAAACAAGATCTTTTACAAAGCACTTTATGTTAGAAATATACCTTTTTTTTTTTTTAATCCTGACCCGAGGATATTTTTCCATTGATTTTTAGAGAGTGGAAGCGAGAGGAAAAGACAGAGAGAAAGATCAATGTGCGAGAAACACATCAATGGTTGCCTCCTGCACTAGCCCTGACCAGGGCATGGGCCAGGGAGGAGCCTGCAACCGAGGTTCATGCCCTTCATGACGGAAATGAAACCTGGCACCCTTTGGTCCGCAGGCCAATCCTCTATCCACTGAGCCAAACTGGCTAGGGGAGAAATATACCTTTATGGATTTATGGTTATGCATAACAGTTTAGAAACATACAATATTTTTTACTGTGTTAAAATCCCACTACAATGGTTATAACCTAGTGCAAATGAGAATTAGTCCTCTAAAGCTGGATAAGAGGAGGTCAGGAAAAAGCCAACAAATCTTCAGCAAATTTCTGAAATGCAGAGAGCATGTAGAGGGGAGATAATGAACTTAAGAGAGAGGATGAAATTGTAACCTCAGTGTCAGAAGAGGAAGTTCCATGAGGAGGAAAAGTTCTTTGTGATTCTTAGGATATATTCCCAGAAGTGGGGTCACTATGTCAAAAGGCAGTTCCATTGTTAATTTTTTGAGGCACCTCCATACTGTTTTCCACAGTGGCTGCACCAGTCTGCATTCCCACTAGCAACGCACGAGGGTTCCCTTTTTTCCACATCCTTGCCAACACTTGTTGTTTGTTAATTTGTTGGTGATAGCCATTCTGACAGGTGTGAGCTGACACCTGATTTTAATTTGCCTCTCTCTGATGATTAGTGATGGTGAGCGTTTTTTCGTGTCTATTGGTCATCTGTATGTCCTCTTTGGAGAAGGCTATCCCTCTTTGAAATAAGCCAGTCAGTGAAAGGCAAACATCAAATGATCTCACTTACTAGTATATGTGGAATCTAATGAACAAAATAAACTAACGAACAAAATAGAAACAGAGGCATGGATACAGGGAACAGACTGACAGCTGACAGAGGGGAGGGGTTGGGTTAGTCTGGGTGAAAAAGGTGAAGGGATTAGCCAAAGAACATATGCGCATACCCCATGGACACAGACAACAATGTCCAGAGGGAAGTGAGGGGCTAGAGCTGGGTGGAGGCAGGCAAAGGTAAGGGGAGGGTGTGTAGGGAGATTGGGCACATCTGCAATAGTGTCAACAATAAAAATCAAGTTTAAAAAATTTATTTGCGTCCCTACATTCCTATAAGTTTTGGTTTGTTTATTTATTTATATTTTTAATTCATTTCAGAGAGGAAGGGAGAGGGAGAGACAGATAGAAACATCAGTGATGAGATAGAATCATTGACCGACTGCCTCCTGCACACCCCACACTGGGGATTGAGCCTGCAACCCAGGCATATGCCATGACTGGGAATCAAACCATGACCTCCTGGTTCATAGGTCGATGTTCAACCACTGAACCATGCTGGCTGGGTGTATAAATTTTGGTATTTAGAAGTACCAATGTCAAAGAAGATAGAAGCAGAAAGAGGCTGAAAAGGTAGCTCTCCCTGCCCAAGTCCTTTTGACAACTCCTTTTATCAGGTAACTGCTTTTCCCCAATACAATGAAGGAGGTTTACTTTCTAGAGCAGTGGTTCTCACCTTCCTAATGCAGCGACCCTTTAATACAGTTCCTCATGTTGTGCTGACCCCCAACCATAAAATTATTTTCGTTGCTACTTCATAACTGTAATTTTGCTCCTGTTATGAATCGTAATGTAAATATCTGATATGCAGGATGTATTTTCATTGTTACAAATGGAACATAATTAAAGCATAATGATTAATCACAAAACAATATGTAATTATATATGTGTTTTCCAATGGTCTTAAGTGACCCCTGTGAAAGGGTCATTTGACCCCCAAAGGGGTTTCGACCCAAAGGTTGAGAATCTAGAGAAATGACAGGCTAAGAGTGAGGTGTAGGGCTGAAAAGAAATGTGAGGTAAGAATCTATTTCTAGAATTCAGAGAATCTTAGTTTCCTTCTCCATCCTACTTCCTGAAATTCAGCAGCCAGATTTTTAAAAAACTCCAGAGAGTGAACAGGTCTGGAGGAAAGACCTCAATAGTTGCCATGCAGATAGAAAATTCTTTTGACGCGTGTATCAGAGAGAATGAAATAAAAGCATCGAACCCAAGACACAGGGTCAGAACACCAGGATTAAAAAAAAAAATCACAAAAACTTTCAGAGAGCTGCATCATTTCATGTGTAAAGTTTGGGATTCAAACATCATCAGAATTCTCAAGAGCAACTATCAAACTGTACATTAATAAGAGTATATTCTCAGACCTATACGTTTGACAAAACCTTTACACCCCACCCCCCTTTTCCTTTTTTCATCCAAATGTCCGTTTCCACGTCAGAGGAAGTCATGGGCTCAAGAAATCAGGAGGGCTCAAAGGAGAAGGAAATTGTCAGGGAGCTTGCTAGATGCCAGGCCTAGGAAATATCCACTTCAATATGATTAGGTGAATAAAGCAGGTATGAGGGGAGACACCAAGCAAAAAAGAGAAATGATTGATTAACTGAGGTTTCCTAATAACGGGGAAATTGTTATTAGGAGTTAGAAGCATCTACCTCAGTATTTAGACATAATTCTAAATCAACAGTGCCCTCGGCGGTCCCGGGCCTGACTCTTGCTTCC